GTTGAAGTACAGGTATAATAAAAAATTTTTTAACCTTTTTATAGCGAATGTTTCAAAAAAAAAATTTATTTTGCATGTTAATTTCCAAATTACAACAAAATGGAAGAATCAATAAAAAAAGGTATTCGAAAAAAAGAATTTTTTACTACCGGAGATATTTTTTTCCGGTACACCATGCAAAACACGAATGTTTACACAGGTTCACACTCAAAATTTAAAAATTGAAAAACTTTATTTTTAAATCATAATCAAAAAATTACATCTATTCTTCGCAAAAATATTATACTATTTATATACAATCAAGATAAAAAAGAAAAGCACTTTAATCTGAATATCAAAAAATACTTTTTAATAAAAATATAATTAAGAGTAAAAATAAGACGAGGTCAAATCTATCAAATAAATTTTTTATATAAATCAAAATTGAAAGTAAAAATGAAAAGGGATCAAAATCATTATTCAACAGATATATAAAATTATTGATACAACATCATATAATTTATTTAAAAAAATATAAAAATAATCAAATACTGTAAATCAATTATTATTTATAATATAGTTTATTTTTAAATTTCAAGCTTTTATTATCAATTTGGTAAAAAAAAAATTTAATTTAAAAAAAAATAATTAAAAAAACATTTTTTTTCATAACCCCCCCCTCCCCACGCCTACGCCACTGATGTTGAGAGAAAGAGAGGGGTTGTTTCATATTTAATTATCGAATTTCTCTCTTACAATGACATATGCGTAATACCATATAGCGTAAATCATGACATTCCAAATCGATCACGATTCGGGCAGACCCCTTTTAAAATTGTTAAAAAAATTTGGAATTATTTAGATAGGTAAAAGAGTGAGAAGCCGTTTATTTTAGCTCGCTAGCACACCTGGTTCTCTAGGTATAGGAGCTCAAAGGTACAAAAAAGAGCCACTTTGGAATCTGTAAAATTTTTAAAATGCTTATATCTCAAAAACTATTTATAGTAAAAATAATTATAATAAATCATTTAGTAAGTAAAGAAGCTCTCTAATGGGATAACAAAGATTAATAAATATTGGCGCCATTATAGGCTTTTAACATCCGGTTTACCTAAATTGCTTTACCTAAATTTTTTAGCAAAATAGTGAGTTTGTTTTCGATTTTTTTTATTGCTTTTTATTTAGACACCTTTGCTAAATATATATATACATTATCAAAACCTTGGCGACGCTATCGACTCCAAAAATTGATAAAAAAAATAGATAGCGCTTTATTAAATTACGGAATATGGTTAAAATATTTCTGCTAGCTTATAAATAACAGGATATTTTCAGTTTTTATACTAAAAAATTTTGATTTTCTATTAAATAAACTAATTAAATGAGGAGCAGAGTGGGCATATGCCTATTAGACACTTAATAATGTAACAAATTTCCAATAATAAACATCTTTCATATAATTTATTTAATTTTTAAGGTATCTACAATTTCATCGAATTTTTCATCATTTGATAAAGATAATGGTATAATTTTAGTCATTAAACTTTTTTTTTACTCTAGATATTTTTTTTCTTCGAATATTTCTTTTAACACAAGCGTTTTCTTTTAATGAGAGATTCCCCATTTGATTGTAGGGATATATTAATGCTCTCAATAGCCTCTTGATTAATTATATGAAGGGGAGAATCAATATTTACATTGTCATTTGAAGTATAAGGAATGTTTGCTAATTTTTGTCGACATAAAGAGTATATTAACATATCTAAATTGAATGGTAAATTTTTTTGGGTCATCCAGGGTAGAATTTTTCTTAAATTTTCGCGATAATAAGCATGTCTCTGTAGATTAAATGGGTTGCAACATTTTAATATTTGGTATGCATCTGTGATATAAAATAAAATTTTAATTGATCTACACCTAGAATACATATTTTTGCACTCTCCAAATCCAGATTGTTATTGGTAGACAGACGATAAAATTAATCTGAAGAGACAGGTTAAAATTATTTCGCAGAAAGAGAGATCGTTATAAACAATTTATTTTGTAAAATATAATCGAATATATGCCTAATAAAATATTCGTTTTTACTGCAGCTGTTATATATTATCGAGCTAATAAGTCATTCGCTCTCTATAGTAGCAAAGTAAAAATGTAAAACATTTTAAGGATAGTGGGAGGGGGGGGGGCAGACCTGGAAATGTTATCACAATTCTTATATCAATATTTTCATTTTCCTTAAGAATAATCTTTTCAACCATTAGCGCCATCTACTTTTTTCTACAATTTTTGGTAAAAATGTATATTTCGGAAAGGTCGATAGCGTCGCCAAGGTTTTGACATCGTATATATATTTATAAAAGGTGTCTAAATAAAAAACAAAAAAAAAAATTCGAAAACAAACTCATATTTTGCTTAAAAATACAGGTAAAGCAATTTAGGTAAACCGGATGTTAAAAGTCTATAATGGCGCCAATATTTATTATGCTTTGTTAGCTCATTAGAGAATTTCTATACCTACAAAATGATATATTATAATTTTTTTTGCTATAAATAGTTTTTGAGATATAAGTATTTTAAAAATTTCATAGATTAAAAGTGCCTCTTTTTTGTACTTTTGAGCCCCTATATCTCGAGAATCAGGTGTGCTAGAGAGCTAAAATAAACGGATTTCTCATTCTTTTACCTATCTAAAAATTCCAAAAATTTTTAACAATTTTAAAAGGGGTCGGCAGAAAAAGTGCCTTTTTTGATCGATTTGACATGGAATGGCCCTTATAATACTTATTTAGCTTACATCAGTTTTTAGCTTGGGCCTTTTGTTTCACAGCCCAGCCATAGGATAAAATTATTGGTTTTATGATATAAATATAGATTAAAATAATTATTTAAATTAACAAACAATAATCTTGTCTTAAAATGAATATAAATACGTAAGACAAAATTTAAAACTTCAATAATTATTTTCAAGTTTAACTTCAATGATTTCATTGACGATATTTAAATATAATACTAAAATTAAACAAATTTATAAGAGTACATAAATAGTCCATTATAGCAAAAGTAATTTTTATAAATATCTAAGTCAGGCGCGTACGCAGGAATTTGGTCTGGGGGGGGGGATAATAAATTTTTTTAAGAAATAATATTTTTAATTAAAAATATTAAGCATAAATTTATTAGGATTAATAACTTTTCTAATACAATTTTAAACTAATGTGAATTAAAAAAATTATATATATAAACCGGCATTTAAATGTGAATCATAAAATATAAAGTGAATATAACCCACGATATGAATCACTTAAATGACCCAAAATTGAAATTTGAATTTTTTGAGCTTTTAAAATATATAAAGTATAAAAAATTTAAATGTTGTAAATATAAATTAATACACAAAAAGTTTCTTAGGAATAATTGTATTTTGTATGTTTTGAGCTAATTTTTCAATTATCAATCCTTGCTTGGCGTTAAATGTCTATGAATATTCAAAAGATCCAAATCATTCAATCTACTTTCAGATGTTGTATTTCATAGGTATGTTTTTCACAGACTTGCAGGCCCGGCCCCCGAGCCGGACCGTATTTTAATTTTTTTAAATATACCCGGGCAGGGCTCGTAATTTTTTTTTAAAAAACACCCGGGCTGGGCCTGAAAATTTTTTAAGAAAAAATATCCGAGCCGAGTTGTATATTTTAAAACCAAATGTTTGAAATCGCCATTATTAGCTATAAATATCAAAAATAAATATAATTTATTTTAAAAAATTAGGGCTGAGCTAGCCGGGCCGGGCCTGAAAATTTTTTTTAAAAAAACCCGGGCTGGAAAAAATTTTTAAAAAAAATCTGAGCCTGGTCCTGCAAATGGTACCTTTGCAAGGCTCTGTTATTCTTCTTAAAAAAGTGAATGTTCTCTCATTAGTTTACTAAAGAGCTGCTAATATATATATAACCATTTTAATAATTGGGAGTATAATCTAAAATGTGTTTGATATAAAAAGCATCCATAGCATTTTTTGGGACTGTATCAACCATAGTTAAACTTTTAATCATAGTTATTCAGCTAATAAGGCATCATAAGATATTTTAACATCTTCATGATAAAAATATAACAAATATTTATATTTTTTTCTATCACCATATGAAAAAGGTTGGGAGAGGGGACATTTATTTTATAATACTCTTCTACTGATCCTATATTAATGTTTTGATGATGAGCTTGCTTGCTGCAAGTCGAGGGAGACAAATATTTAACACGTATAGCTCTGCTTTTGACTCAACAATAACATATAAAATATGAAATTCTTCAACAACACTAGCTTTATTTCCTTGAGTTCTAATAAAATGCTCTTCGCTATTCTCATCTTCTTAATCAAGTCAATGTTATGTTTTTGAAAAGTATTACATAAAATAGTTGTATAATTAAATAATACATTCTAATGAGAAAAAAAATTTTGAATAAGTATTGAATCCAATAATTTTCTTGCTTCCGAGGAAATATTTCTTTCAAGCCATTGTGATATTTCAGTAATAGCATTAATAATCAGCTCTTCTAACTCCAAAATAGCTGTTACTGTGGCGGAGACTCGATCTCGTTGGACAAGCTTGCAATTTTTTTCTCCCTGTTGGACAAGGAGTTTCAGAGATAATTATTATTTTATTAGAAATTTAGATAAATATTACGCCACTAAAATTTGAAAATAATAGGTAAATTACGCCAAGGGAAACTTGAAATCGAAATTGATTGATAAAATAACTTAGTAGATGAATGTGATAAATAAATGTAATTAAATATATATATATATGTATATATGAGATAAGAATAAATATTAACAAATATAAATTAATATTAACAATAATATTTTTGAAAAATATAATCCGGCATCTGCATTTTTTGGCTTTGGGGGGGGGGGGGATTTGTCCCCCTGCCCCCTCCCCCGCTGCGTACGCGCCTGATCTAAGTACATCTTAAAAAAAATAGAAATGATCTTTTAAGGTTTTAGTTTTTCATCAGGTTTACCAAAAATATCGTTATGAAGTTGTTGTCTATCTATCCTTTGTAATTCAATTTTATCATGGATGATATGCGAAAACAGATTATAAGTAAATTTATATAAAATATAATTAAATTATTGATTATTTATAGAAATACTTAAAGAAGGAGATTTAGCACAACTTTCAGCCAAAAAAGTTAGACAGACTTTAGAAGAGATATATGGGCAAGATTTAACATACAAGTACAATACATTTATTTTGTTTATATTATAAACTCAAAAATAGAAAAAAAGAAATTGATGCTATGCTTATGGAGACATTGGAGGAAATGGAATTGAATGATCATTCTCATGCAACAGAATATAAAGATAAAAGTGCTATACTTGATAAAAATATTGTAAATTTTATTTGATTATATATTTTATTCTGTAAATAGACTTATAATGGTAAAATCTCTGATAACAAACCAACATATTCCACTGAAGTTTCTAGTGATCAATTATCATTAAATGAAGATAGTTCTTTTGCATCTGATGGTGATGATTCACATAACAAACAATACAAACCCAAGCAAAAATTTAAAGAAGTGGCCATATATTTAAAAAAAAAAAACCTTATGATTTATCATAGATTTATAATAATGATAAAGTTGAAGATGATGAAATTATTGCTAGGCGAATTCAAGAAGAAGAAAACTCAACCAGACTTCGGACAAGGCGAACTGTCAAATTAAAAAAACACCAAACAGTTTTCTTTATATATTTAATTTATATTTTATTTGTTTTCTTAGCAGAAGAAGACAAAAACTAAATTTGATAATGATGACCAAAAAAAGAGGAAAAGTAAATTTAAAGTTTTTTTTATGCAAATAATTTTTTATAGGTGGTACCTCATTATATTCTAGACCATGTAGATTATCACCACTACTTGCTGACTTAATGGGAAATAATCAAGTTTATATTTGAAACAATATTTATCTCCTTTAAAAAAAATATTAGATGCCTAGAAAAGATGTAGTCAAAAGGATGTGGGAAATTATTAAAGAAAGAAATTTACAAGTAAAAAAATGTTTTAATTTAATTAATGTCATATGTTTAGGACCCCAAAAATAAACAATATGCATTATGTGATGAACAATTGGCAAAAATTTTTGGTATTAAAAATTTAAACCAAATATTATTATATAAAATTTATAGGACGAAAGAAAATTAGAATTTTTGGGATGATGAAACATTTATCTAATCAAATTATTGATAATAAATAAGTCAGAAATATAAATCATTATTTATTAATATATAAAAATTTATTATTTTATTCTATACGTTTGTAAATAAAATACTTTTATTATTAATTTAATTTATATATATATATCTAATCTATAATAATAAACTTATATATTTTATATACCTATTTTAGCAGGAATTTTCTCTAACTTAAAATTTAAATTGATAATAAAATATTATAATTAAATACAAATGATATTTTGAATGTGTTATTGAGTTATTAAGAATGTTTTTTTTAAAATTAAAAAAAACCAATTCTGCTTTTTTTTGTGATCTGACCCAAGCCCAAACCCAACAAACATTTTTAGGTAAAAACTGACCCAAGCACAGCTAAAAAAAATTTATAATTAGCATTTAAATATTAGCAATTAAAAATTTTATGGATTTATCTATATATTGCCATCTTAAATAAAAGTATTCTTAACCCATATAATCTAATCAATATTCATATAAAGTTGCATTTTATTTAATTTGTATACGTATAAATTTTATTCAATGTAAATTAAAAAGTAAAGTTAAAATATAATCGAATTTAAAAATTATTATGATTATATAAAAGTAATTTGCATGATTGATGTCAAAAAAAGATGATATAATTGTTTATATAGTAAATTTCTAAAAAATAATAATGAACATATTAAAAAGACATCAATATCAGTTATCTTGATTGACATTTTATGTAACAAAAATGTTTACTAAGGATATTTGTATTTTTAATATTTATTTATCAGGTTGGACACCTCTTACAGCCCAACCCAAGCACAAGTAAAATGTCTGAAACTGACTTGAAGCTTGGGTTGGGCTTTGGACAGCCTATGCTAGCCTCTACTTACAGCCCAGCAAAATTTTTAGATCTAGGTTTGGCCTTTTGCAGTCTGGCTTTTTAAAAAGCTTATAGGTCATGCCTAGAGCCCTGCAAAGTGATTTTCTTGCTACCCTAACTGAGTGTAAATTTAAAAAAAATTTTGTACCCAAGCCCAAAGACAAATTATGTTCCAGTCCAAGAGCCCTATTAAAAAATTAGGAATTTGAGTTTAAATGTAATATTTATATTTAACCCCCAATTTTATAAATATAAAATCCAGATGCTATTATATTGAATAGATCTTAGATAAAACAAACATTATCAAATGAAAATATTTCATAATGGTTATAACATTAATATTTTAGTTTTTGTGTCAGCTAAATGTAAAATATAATATATTTTATTTATATAGAATATGATGTATATAAGTGACGATGCAGTCACAATAGGAAATTTATTTGGGAAAAAAAATTACATAAATGAATAAGTGAAATGTGTTGGATGAAAAATGACATTAACATTTCGATGAAACAAAATTATTGAGGATATTTCTAATTTTTATATTTGGGGCCTTGGGTATAATCTTCAAAGTCCTTGACTGAGGTTCATATTTAGCAGCCCTTGCAGGGCTTTAGCCATATCCTGTTCAGCTTCTGTTTAGACACTATATTCTGGTCTTTTAAGTTTATACAATAAATAATATTTTTTCAGTATTAATAAAACAAAGACATGTATTTTTCGAGCAACCTTTCTTTTTAAGTTGTTTAGAAGGAGATGGTAAACAGATGACATTTTAGAAAAAGATGAGCCAGGTGACCATTATTGGTATAATAAGATAAAGTTATATAATTGCAAAAAATCGAAATACCATAATTTCAAATTTATTTACATTTGGAATTTTTATATTTTATGAAATCTTTTAAAACAATCCATATGTATCGGTATTTGACACATGTTACATATATACATATCTTGTCTGACTATGACAAAGCTTACAACGTCGCATTTTGTTATCGATAATAGTTGTAACATAATGACCATAAGAATTTTCAGGTTTTTCACTTAGTGAGGAAAAATTGACTAGAATGGCCTCTTGCACTCAACTTTTAATTAATCAGGGGAGTTACAAAAGTGTCCTAGTTATTTCCAGCTGAAATGTTAGTAATGATTTTTTATCATAGGATTCACTCGATTCCATAATTTCCATGAATTTACTAATGCTACGTCAATATTTTTACCTCGTATATTTATTCTTTATGTTGATACTAGGTTATCACAGATCAAATCTTACCGTAGGGAATTATAGGAATTTACTAGATTAGGTTATGTAATTTATTTTGAGAAAATCTTTCAAGAGGATTTTGATATGTTACATAGAGGGCTAAGAACTTTACATATTGATGCAACTGTCACCACTGATCTATTATTCCATCGAACCAAATATTTCATATGTCTTTTCAAATCGGTAGACGTAATAGCCTCCTGTTTTTTTGCCATAACTTTAATTTTTTCTAGGGGAAAATTTTTAAGTCTATTTTCTCTTATAGTCCCAGTTGCGAAAAATTTAAGATGCTTCAAATATGATAAAAGCCTTAGAAATGTAAAAAAAATTATCTAAGTGAATAGAATGCATACTTAAATTTGTAACAACCATACTTCCTAATCCAAGATTCGAAGCCATTTGTCTTTTATTTTTTCCTTGATATATATTAGATGCAAATATATATATCCATCGGAGGAAGCAAGGTTAATGATATATATCCAAATCGAATGGGGATAAGCATTACAGGAATATCTTTATCGATACGATATCATTTTCTCATCTATGCATAAATTATGTAAAAATATTCTAAATTGTTGAAACTTTTATTTAGAAAATTTAAATATGGGCTGACTTTATAATGATTATCTTCTTCACTAAAGTTCAGCTATATTAGATAAATGTAAATTCCTTTTGATATAGGGAAATTATGTTATGTCATTTAATTCTTAACGATTGGTGAAGGAATATCATTGACATTCGACCAATACATTCTTTCTTGCAGTAAGGAATGATATTCAGTCAGCAAAAGAATTCATAAAAAATTTTTCATCTCTGACTCGATTGTAATAAAATTTAGTCTATTGTTTTGTATCTAATAATTATGGGATTGATCCACAAGTAGTGAATACTTTAGACGACGTTCTTAACTTAACAACTTCTTACTCTATTATAATTATTTTAACTTCTTCAATGCAGGGGTTTCAACTTATAATTGTAATTATTTAAGTTAAGAATCAATAAACACTATAAATTTATTTTCATGAATTAAAAAAAATATAAATTAAAAAGTTAAGAAAAATATAAAAAAATGTATAGTATATTTTTTATAAACAATATATTTCTTTATCTAACTAATAAAAATGTTTGACATTTTTATAATCTATCTTCCTTATAATATTTTGTTTCAATTTCTACAGCTGCAACAGTAATGACACAGGAATATGTTTTTTATATTTTATTTTTTTATTAAAATTATTTAAAATTACAAAGTTAAGAATTTCTCATTAAAAATTAAGAATAGATTTTTTGCATAAAAAAATATTAGTACAAAGAAATTGTTTTTTCATCATAAAATCACAGAAAATAAAAAAGTAATCAGAATAGAAAATTATTAAAAACAAAATTCAAATAAAAATTATTTTCATTTAGATTTTGAATAATAATTTTGTTCACTCAACAATGTCATTGACGTTTCATATATATAAATGTTAGTAATTATTTATAAAATAAGCACAGCTATGACATGCCACCTCTTTATGGGCTAGCGGCATTCATCCCCCAAAAAAGAAAATTTATAAAATATCTATTAACTATTTAAACAATAAAGACATTACAAAATATTTTAAATATTCAAACCGACCCTGATCACCTTTATGTTCATGGTGATTGATATTATGAGAATAATGGCTATGGTATAGTCATTCGGCGTTAGAATATTTGTGGAGCTATCATCAACCTAGTCAGATGAAAATGTTAACGATAATATTATTTTGTTCCAAAACTGTCGGGGTAAACGGTGATTCTCCATTGTCGTTGGCTTGTTTACTAGCTTGAAAAGGCGCCTCATATGTACATCGGCCTGATAATGGGAATACATTTTCTTTTAACTATTAACGATTTCCAAAATTACGGAAATTTCATGATTCTTTGAGATTAAAGTTGATCAAGGATGATTAGGGGGGTATGGTAATATTATATATCAGAAAAAATTATTTATTTTCGGATTTTTAATTCTGATAATCATTGTGTAAAAAAAAATTAATAAATCTCATGCATAAAAATTTTGTTAAAAAAATAAATATAAATCCAATATAAAAACAATAAAATTATCATAATTTATTTGTTGGAGAAAAAACAAACATATATTTAAAACGCTACTTCCGCTTTTTCTTTTGCGGTAAGATTGACAATTATTAAAAAAAAATAAGTGTAGACGAAAAAAAATAATACAAAGGAAGGGAAGGGGAGAAAAAAATCCTTCTTCCGATGGCATTCATTGAACTACCATCCTTATTGGTTAATTACCGACATTATCAATAAATAATTCCTCCTTTTACCAAATGTTATATTGCATTTTGAATCAACGAACTTACCAACGTATCACAACGATATCATTTTTTATTAACAAATGTTATGTATGGCCATCATACTAAAAGGTCATTATAAATAAAACATTCAACTTTTCTCCTTTTCTTTTTTTAGTCTCTTAATTCTATGTGATCCTGGTACAACCACCAAAACCCCATTTTCCAAAGGGACTTGATTTAATTTCGATCCTATATTCTGTATTATACTACCCTTTTCCCAGTTTTACGGAGCATAGGTATTACATGGAACACATTTTCTCGTAATTTTTTCAATAACACCTCCCAGATCACCATACATATTCACGAGCCCAAGATTTCATTTTATCCCGACCCTGATGTCCATCATGTAATAGATCAATAACCACGTAATTTAAACGGAATTACAGCTCCATTCCCTCGCATTAGACAATCATCCACACGGACAATTTTACAATTATTTTTCCACGGTTTTTTCCCCGTTAGAAAAAGTTTTATCTGATTCAATACTTTATCTGATTCAATTCTTTATCTTTTAAAGTTTTGAATTTATCCTCCCAATAAGTAGGACCCCTTTTAGCATATGTGAAAGAGATCAAACCGAT